CCCCCCTCCTCCAAATCCAACTCACAAACACACCCATACCCACATACCCTCCCACACACACACACACCCTCCCACACTCCACACCCTCCCACACACGCACACACCACCACCCACACACACTCTCCCACACCCCCACACACCTGTAGTTTTTGTTCAGAACTCGCGATCTCGTCTCTGGGTCCAGACCTAGAAGACTCTCACACCTAAGGAGGTCGATCCCCTGCCCACTGGGCACCGCTGCGCCCTCTATCTCCTCCGTCAACTCTCTGTTGTGCCGCAGGAAGCGGACTGTGTCTCGCAGCGTCAGGGCGTGGTCGAAGTAGCGGCGCGCCTCGCCCTCAGCGTCAGATCCCACCTAAGGTAGATAGAGTTTTACAGCAGTTGTAACACAATTGGGTTATAAAGTGCTCAGGATTAGAAGTGTTACTAGAAAGTTACAGACAAATAAAATAAGGAAGAAAGATATGGACGAAAGATATTTGATAGAAAAGAAGGAGCAAACCACATCAAAGCATCCACCAACCACACACATATCAAAACAAAAATCGAACAATAAAAATGTTATAGCTAAACGGAGACAATTGTCCTAATTAACAGATACAAAATCAAAATGAAGGCAAGTACTGGAATTATGATATACTGATAATTTCTTTGACCAATCCGAAGACTTGAACCCACATTATTCCAGCTCCAAGACCAACACTATTCAGCCTCATCGCATAGCCAATCAGCAAAAAGACACAAACAAACAAACAAACGATCAAACACGAAGCCTGTCACACATACCTTCTAGTTTAGTTTGAGTAAGAGTTTTACGGCACTTGCAACACAATAAGGTCATATATAAGTGCCGAAGACTAGAGGTGTTACAACAGAGTAACAGTAACACACAAACATAAAAAAGGAAGATGGAAGATAGAGACGATAGACTTTTTAGAGGAAAGAAGGAGCAAACCAGACCAGAGCACCCGCCAACCACCCATACACATACCTTCTCCAGTTCTGAGAGAAAACTGTCCATAGACTCATCACTGAGTTTCCCGACTTCGAACATGGTCACCGCGTGGCTTTTCAGACCCTGAAATACAAAACACCAAACACAAGATCCGTTAGTCTTTTCGAGATCAAGCAATGGTCTCTGTGTTCTTTGAAAAAAAGACTGGCTTTTTATTTAATTCAGTCCACTATCTCTAACAGCTAAGGAAGAGGTGGGAGAGATGGGGTGGGGTTGAGGGAGGGGGTGGGCTTTTTCTGAAGTCAAAGTAGTCTTCTTTTTTTTTGCAGAGGTTTTTCGACGTTTGCAACTGCATACTTCGCATGTGACATCACAGTATAAAAAACAGTGCAAAAGGGACAAATGTAATTTCTGGAAGACTTGAACAAACATAAGGCCTTTAACAGTTTGCACTCACTGGAAAAATAGAAGGGGACAAGGAGGCACAGGTAGACAAAGAACAGATGGGTGACGAGGATAGACAGGAACAATAGAGGTTTTTTGAGTGAATCCCAGCAGAGACATGAGAGACAAACTATTCACAATTGCTGGTGTCTGTTTAAGATCTTTCGCTGTCTACAGTTGGGTATCCATTCTGACCGGACTGAAGTGAGAAAATTTGTGTTCAGCGTCTTTCCCAAGGACACAACATTGGGCCCCTGACGAAATTCGAGCCCACAACCTTACATTTGCAAGTTAGAGAGCCTAACCACTTGAAGACTACGGAGGAAAAACAACGGTAGTCACAAACTGAAAATCATGAGGGTACCAATTTTGAACGCTTGTTGACTCATAACTGTATGTCTATTCAACAGTTGGGTGATTATTGTTGTTAGATTTCTCATTCAACAAACATAACAACAATAAACCACCAGTCAAACAAATATGAAATTATGAGTCCACAAGCTTTTAAAATTGACACCCTCACAATTTCCAGTTTGTGACTACTGTCGTTTTTCCCCTGTGCTCTTCACTTGGCCACCAATCTACTTATGTAAACAAAACAAAAATTTTAATCTGAGAGCCCACTGACCGGCGACAAGTTTCCCATCATGAGAAAGGCTGTGAGCGTGGAGTCAAACAGGAAGGCAATTCTCTTCACAGACGCCTGCGTGCCCAAATCTGGGGAAATAAACAGTAACAAAACCAAAACTTTAAGATGAGCTGTGTTATCAAAACCAAACTCAAAACAAAAATATTCCCTACCTAAACCCGCCACATACCACTGTTACTCTCACAAGAGGTGTAGTAAAACACTATCAAACGACGCACACACCAAAATAACTCTCACAAGAGACGTAAAACACTACCTCACGCCCCATACACCACAGTTACTCTCACAAGAGACGTAAAACACTACCCCACGCCCCATACACCACAGTTACTCTCACAAGAGACGTAAAACACTACCCCACGCCCCATACACCACAGTTACTCTCACAAGAGACGTAAAACACTA